CATGCTTCCGTCGGGGCTGGTTTTACAGCGCGACGCGGAATCGGGTTAAGTCCGCATGAATTTCCGCCGTGACGGCCCGCGGGACGAAGAGATTTCGAGAAATAGAAAGAGAGAGAGAGAGAGAGACTTAGTCTGAGAGCGCCTTTTGTCGCGTGCTACTCGTATTTCTCGGCTTCGCCCGGTAATTACTAAATATCGTGCGAAACGTCGGCGTGTCGGGCGGTCCCCGGGGAGCTTCGCGGCCGAGAAAATCATCCGAGAAGCCCTTCCACGGGACGAAGATTAAGTTAGCTTTTCGGCTAATTTCGCCCGTTTCTTCCTGCAATTTTAATTGAAACGAATTCGTACTGCGAATTGAAGAAAAACACCCCCGACGCACAGTGCCTTTTTTTCTCGAAAAGCTAGACAAAATTAAATATTTTTTCATACACCAACAATTTCCGAATAATTCAGATGGACACGTCAGGTGAACGATCTTATACAGTGTCTCACCCGATTTTGACATCTTGATTTTCTCGCTATTGTTACTCGTAGCAAAAAATGTTTCGAGTGGAGCATATTCTGATGTTATTAGTTTTTTCGTGAGTGGACGCGTAAAGGTCATACAAAGGTCAACTTTGTTTCTTTAAATGGAATGAGGTATTTTTTAATACATCAATCGATGCAGCTGGATATTCGATATGTCGAAAAGTTAGTAGTTCAGGAGATATTTTAATTTAAATAATTCTAAAATACCATTACTGTCGTACTTTATTACCATTACTGTAAATAAACGCTAACTCTTAGTAACTTTAATTGTTCTCATCTTTAAAATTAACAAGAGTCTGCACCTAATATTTCACGTATGTCATTAGGAACCTGTATACTATCATCCTACAAATCCCCCTTAAAATCAAAGTTGAACAAATTGGGGTCCTTCTTTGTCAAAGTCCTCACGCAATCTATGCCCTCGGTCTTTCCCTCGATTCCCTTTTGTAAACAGCAACGGGCCAGTTTCGTCGTTAAACGCAACAGAGACCAGGCGCTGGGCCGCGTAAACGAGCAACTCGGAGCCACGACGACGATGTGGGGCCTCGAACAAAAAGGGTAGCAGTCGGCTGTATGACTTTAATTAAAAATTTCAAGTTTCCGTGGGGTGCATTCTCTCTTCGGGCGCCACGGTCTACGCATGAGCAACGTCAGCGTCACTGTGTAACAGGGACGAGGCAAAACGTATTAAAAAGTTTAGCTCGACTTTTTATTCTTTCCCCGATGAGGATTCGTTCTAGCGCGAAAAAGAAAGGAAATAGCGAAGTGACAGAAGACGAATCCACGGTTCGATCGACAGAAAGAACCTTGCACCGAGACGTTAAAATCCATGCAGACGCTTGCTACTTCCGGATTTCCTGCAACGGATTTCCGATTCGTGGAAGTCTCCCCTACTAGCATCCTCGAGATCCTCTAATTTCGTCGCGCTTAACTTTCCACGCCCTAGCCGTTTACCATTCTGACGGCGTTAAGTGTAATATAGAACGTTCTCGCGGAGCAGGGGCTGCTAATCCTGATATCATCCCGCGCGATATTACGGCGACGACGTAAGACGTTTACCCTCGTTGCCTTCTCGAGTCGCGACCGTGTAAACAGCCACTGGGGGGGGGAAGGTTTCATTAACAAGCCGTGTGATTGGCAAATTTTCCACCGGAGGAACGTCGTGTAATGGAAATCCGATTTCGGTAACGAAATCCGCCGATATCGGAGCTGATTATCTTTTTCGGTCCCTCGATATCGTTGTCGTGACGCAATTCAGGTGATCGAGGGTCGTAGGCGTCGTCAAGTATTGGGGCCTGTTGATGTAACACGAATAAAAAATAGGGTAGATCGAAGCGAATCGGATCCAAACGGTTAATAATAATTAACACGTTCGCTACCAATATATTATTTCGAAAATCTTCGTCACAGACTACGCTAGATTGTCAGCAAAAGATAACTTTTATGCAATTTCTGTTTATACATTCTCCTTATCGTTACCTTTTCCATCCTGTTGTGATAAATTTTTCGTAATTCGTGTTCTGACTGACTTCCGTGAACAAACTTGTGAATCACTGTATACAGGATGTTCTTTTTAACTGAAATCTGTAGAATATCTCCTAAGGAACAGAAGATACGAAAAAAAAGTTCTTACAAATGCTATTTGGTATGAAGGGGGACATTAGTATGTTAATTAGGTATTACTAAATTAGAGGAAAATATCGTGGTATATTGAAAAATATAGCAATCCGTGTAAAAAAATTAATTTTGACTTTCAAATCTCTCCCGGTACTATACTTGTAAACAATTTGTTTGTAGTACATAATGTCCATCTCCAACTTGAGTATGAATATCGTTTGTCATATATTTAGTTTCTTCGGAGATATTCCACCGTGTCCCGTTGAAATGCATACCTTTCGCGAGCCGATCGACCAAAGTTGAAACGTAATCGAGGCTGTCGAAGACTCGACGATGAACCCGTTCGGGTAATTTTCCGTGGTTATTTTATTATATCATACCTACTCTTATTCCGGAACGGCAAATACGTTGAACGTCGAAAGTGGAGGTAAACTCGGAGGATTACGTCGATGAAGTTACAGATTCCGTCCACGAGGTTAAAATTAATTAGATTTGTTCTGCGCAGACCGGCGTAAGAAGATCCACACAGGCGGCGGGGTTTAAAGTAAACGTTGAACTTAATTAACTGCTCGATCGAAGACCCATCAATAATCCAGGCCCGGCGAATTTTCCGGGAAACGTTCGCTTGTGTTTCATACGTCTTCGGGAAATGGATTCGTTGTAACTGGGTCGTCTACATGAGTTAAACATGTTTTTATATCACCAGTTAAACATATACAGTATGTCCGGTTTAGGTGTATACAGGCTATTATTTCTGTAACTGTTGAAAATGCAAAATAATGTTTCATATAAAAGTTGTTCGATTTTATGGAGCAAACTTAACAGAATTTTTTTTAATTCCAGTGACCGTATGAATATTCGTTGCAATGTCAGTGTTTAAATTATTAAAAAAACTTAAATATTCTGTTAAGCTTGCTCCAAACAATCAAACAACTTTTACATGACACATTTTTTCAAATTTTCCGTAGTCATATAAATAATAGCGTGTATATGTACACTTAAACCCGACATACTGTGTATCACTTTCACCGAAGAAATCTTGTTTATTCTTACGTTAACGTGCGTACACACAAAATCATATTACTGTTGGGGTAATCTAATATTCTATTGCGATGGGTACAAATATCGAATGAATAGTATCGAAGAAGAGGGTCGGAAATGTCTGACCGTGTGACCCTTATCTGTAGCTGAGTCATTCATACTTGATCGCGGACCTTCGATCGGGAATACGAGAATAACACTAGGGAGCGACCATATTGCCGAGCGATTTTCCCTGACGCACTAATGAGTCATCGACGCTACGGTACTCGTTCGGAACTATACTGCGGAAGGACATTCCTGACGCGCTAATTAGTAATCGATACTTGATGACACCGTTTCGGCCCCGCGTTCTCCCGTAATAGAAGGACCCTGTAGATAATAGATAGAGGCAAAAGTTACGAGGCGAGTTTGAAACTCGTCATCGTTAACGGGAAACTCTTTTCCAAAGTCCTGATTAAAATTCAAGCTGTTAGATTCAAGAATTCTAATTTGGAACTTCCCGATTCCTCGTCTTATTCCGATCAGAATATCGCGAAGTTAGGAAGGTGTTCACTAAATTTGATATAGATATTTTAAATATGCAATATATAATATAATAAAGTACAAATGTATAGAATGTTAACTAGACACTTATATGGAAGAAATGTGGGCCAACGTTAGATTATATTTCACTGTGTCAAACAACTTTTCCATACTGGCGTTAATATAAATTTAACGAACCCAATATTTTCTGTCTTGTGTCTTGTCGGAGATTTTATGTTCGTGAATTTTCATTTATTAACATCCAGTCGACTACGCGTTTCAGAAACAACGTTACGTTTGATCCGTTGGTAACTTAATCTGACGCCGACTACATACATTACACGCTCCGCTCGCCGAACGAAATTGGACCGGAATCGAATGAAGCGCAAAATATCCGTTGTAAGTAGCTTGCAACGCACACACTCCTGTTACGAATTGAATTTCTATATTTCCGTGACAAAATTGTCCCCGGAGCGGAGTGGAACGCTTAATTCTATTTTCTCCGTTCGGTGTTATTTTATTCACGGACACGTATATACTCTGCAAAATAAAGCTGTGGCTCGTAAAAATAAATATATAACCAAACATACGAACATTTTGTAGAATAAACTTTTCACTGAATAAAACTAGAACAATGGACCCTAGAGCGTCCGGCGCGACGTCTTTCTTAAAATGAAAATTGAGACGTTATGGGGTTAAAGGAAAAAAGGAAGAAAAATTACAACGAAAAATTTCTCCATTACACTCCTGTATAAATAATTTCCCCGGTTAACTCGTTTACCGGAACCACTATCCGGGAACGATCGTAGAGAATCCGAATGGACAGGATGATTAATCATTCCCGGGACCGAAACAACTCTACCGTGTACCCGCGTTCACTCTCGATCTCCGCTAACCGAACCCCCGCAGGGGAAGTGGGGAATAAAATTTTAACCTGTACCGGAATAAAACATACGGAAAACATCGGGGTCTTACGTTACCGAATTCCTTCTCGGAGTATTCTCCGTGGTTCTCCACTGCGCTGTTCCCTGTAACGGAAATGGATATAGGGAAATGGTAATCGTGAGAAAGAGAGGGAGAGAGAGACTTCCAAATGGAAAAAGGAATGGGGGCTGTCTGGGTGGAATCTACTGGGACAAATGGGGTTAAAAAAGGGGGTCTGCTATCCGGGCGATTCGATTTATATAAATTCATGGGCGATCTTCGACGACACTCCCACCGCCATTGGGGGGGTGGATACCATGGAATCTCGTAATCCAACAGCTCATGATCCTTACCGTTTGTCTTTACAGAGGCTTACGTGAATCTGGGCGCAGCCCTGGCCACGGTCGGACGCGGAACAGAGGCGGCTGCGGTTTTGCGGGCCGGCGCGTCCCTGGACGGGTCCGGTCTCAAGGACAAAAGGGCTCACGAGGCGGCCAGAGTGCAGGCCCTACTTCAATTAGGCGCCCTCTACGCTGATCAGGGCAGATTACAAAGGGCCCTCGCCGCGTACCAGGAGGCGCTGCACGCCTTGCCGGATCACTATCCGCCTCAGGTCAGTTCACCCTTACCGTTCGTTACTCCATTAACGCGAAACAGCTGTCGGCGCGTGGATCACCCTCTCAGTCGCGTAGCCACTTACAGGCCAGGGCGCCGTAGACGCGTACGCGTGTGGATTCCCTTTGACGATCCCTGTATCCCGACCGATCCACGATTGGCCAGCGATGCTGCATATTGATGAGATCGACGTTACCACGAACGAAGCCACGACCGTCTGGTCTCTGTCTTTGGGAAAAGGGAACGGGGGTGTTTCGGTCGGATCCCACTGACTGACAGCTGTTACCGTTTCGGTGTGTACAGAGGGAATCAATTTGATCGATTTAGATCGGTAGATCGAGGATTGATTCTTTTGGTTGCTGGCTATGAATTTCATGGTGGTACGAGTATATTTAAGATAATTAAGCTTTTGGCGAAGTTAATGAAACTGTCTGGAACAGTTCCTTTCGTGTCATGTTTCGTTTCAGAGAGAATCGAATTTGAAAATTCGTGCGGTACGCAGAAGAGATGGGAAAATTTATTATCTAGATGAAATGTTTCGAATAAAGAATAAATGATGGGAAGAAAGTGCTGTGGCATTTTTAATTAATTGAACGTGGAAATTCCGAATTTTGTGATAAAATAATACCTCTTCTTCGATGAGTAGACACTTGATGAACAATTATTTGATCTTATTAGCTGTTTACACCTCTGATGTTCCCCCTCACTTATTCTTCACGTTTATATCTCTTTGAATAGTATTGATTTCAAATTTTTAGATGATTTGTTCGTGACAAATTGAAAGTACACACAAAATAGACGTGAAATGTAAATACCTTGAATACAAAAAATACATATTCTTAAATTTTTGTATATTTATTAAAGTATAATCTTCATTTCGAGTCATATAAATCCGAGTAGAACAGCAGGGTTGAAAATCAAGATGACGTTTCTGGTTACTGCTACTTTTCACTGTGTATCATTCAAAGAAAACTGTGCCCAACTTTGATACGCGGATATACCTTATGCGTCTGACCATTCACGGGCTGTTTCTACTTGCAGAAATACTTTACAATGGAACTGCATTATTTGATTCACAGAATAATCTTATCCAACGCTAAGATCGATGGAACAGTAAATATCATGATAGTGTCACGCCTTACTGCCAGTAGAAATAGTGAATAATAGACAAACAACTTAAATAGTACCCTTGAAAAAGTGTTCAAATTCGATTCTCTCGAAGACGAAACGATCACGCGAGAAAATGTGTTCCACAGTTTCCAAGCATCAGCCCACGTTAATTCGTACCATCATTATCGTCACACCGTGCAATAATTTGACTGTATAATTAGTTGACGAAAACAGTGATTACAAGCCAGAGTCGAAACGATCTCGACTCAGTTACAGTCTCTTTTATCCCGTTTGGTATCACTTAGTCAATTAAATCAAAACCCGGTGTATTCCAATTAAAATATAATTGAACAGCCATTCGCTGGCAGTAACGTCAACAGTTTATTATTCGCCGCTGATTTTAATTTTAAATCGGATCCCCGGCACGAATGAACGCGCACCGTATCATAAACAATTTGACGCATCGCGAAGGAGCGCTCGTCGCGTCCGCTGGAAACACAAGTTAATTTGATTGGGCGTGCGATCGAATTTACCCGAGCAAACTTCGAGCTGGGGATCGGATTAATTTCATTAAAGGCGGGACCCGTTGAAAAAAATCGCACAGGCAACGGGAATAACACGGTTCGTTCGGGCTGGAAAACCGTCGATCGCGATACTAAATCTCGGGCCACGCGTGTGCTCGTAACTCGTTTCGTGATCGATGTCCCGGCGACGCGTTGATCGCAATATCATACAGCACCTTCATTAATCCGCAGTATCTGGGTGTATCTTGACCCAGAATTTGAATAAAAAGTTTTTCTTTCATTATATTTCACAGAGCCGTGTAAGATATAAATCCATAAAATCGGCAATGTAATTATAATTAACCTAACAGAGTCAAATTATTATTTTTTCCACGTATCCGATACAACTGAGAAGAAAATGAATATTTCAAATTTTCATTAATCCATGTAACATGCTAATATGCTCACGATCATTCGAGGTGTTTTCGTTCCCATTTACGAATCGTAATGTTCATAACCGTGACCCGTCGAGAACAAGTGAACCCGTTCGGCTAATTAAATTTTCGCTGTATCGATCGTAGGCCAAGGCGAAACGACACAATATATATATATATATTTGTTTTTTGCCGAGCGATCAAGATGAAACTCGTGGGAGTACGCCGCGTCGCGCAATTAACGCTCATCCGGCCGTGAAAACCGACGCGTCGATGAGCCAGGCGCAAAAAACTGGTCACAGTATATAGCACCGGAATCGTCGAATCGACGTTGTTCCTCCCCGCCGTGAAGCGGGAACCGCTGCAAATATGATTTTCAGTCTCGTCGTAAACCAAAATTAAAAATTTTAAGCTCACCGTAATCCTGCTCGCTCTGTAGCGCTCGTGCGTGTTGCCCAACCCTCTCTTTATCTCCTTCGCGAGCCAACCGCCTCTCGGTCCTTCTCCTCCTCTTTTTTTCTTTTTTTTTACAACGTCCTGAAAAATGCCGACGCGTTTAACTCTTTCAATTTTCATTTAATCTCCTGCAAATTTCCCGCGCGGAGTATCCGCCCCCGGGGGTGGATCCCTCAAGAAACTTCTTTACCCCGGCCGTGGCTAACGTTTTAATACCCCTGAAAAACACGCGTCGAGATGACAGTTTTCAGCCCACCCGGTTCTGTTGTGACCCAGAACGCTTTAATATTCCGTCACGATCTACCTGGTGGGAGGGGGGAAAAGAGTGACATCAAAGGGCCTGGCGGTAAAGAAGGACACGCGTCTTTCGAAATTACGGAATGAACGGAATTTCTTGGGTAGAGTTTATATCGAGAGACGAAATATTTTCGTTTCACTTTGCCAACGCGACTTCGATAACTGTGACTTATATTCATAGTACATATCTTCAGGATTCGTAACAGTAGTTGTTTATATTTTTTAAATTGTCGACTGTATACGTCTAATATTTCACATACAGGGTGAGTCAATGGGAAATATTATCTGAAAGAACTCATTAACTACTGGTTGCATCGAAAAACGTTTTAATGAATTATATAGCCTTTTAAGAGACGCATCGGACGGATACAGTTTATTTTCTTATGTCCTAATTTTTTTAGATACCAAGGTGACCTTGGGTTCTTTCGAGATCAATGCATCCTTTTTCAAGACCATCATGCTATAGATCGCTGAATTTGTTCTTCCATCAACAAAAACTCCGTTAAAATTAAAGTCGAACAGTTTGGGTCTATCCCTTGTAAATAAGATAAAAACAATCGAGAAAACGTGACATGGAAAGGGGGGATGCGTGAATATCACCATGCCCGAAATTACCCTCCGTCTGTATTTCCCCTGTCACCCTCTACGTTCTGCAGCGATTCTGAACGCTTCTGAACTGATTCAGGAAGTGGCAAGCCCCTGAAACACTTCGTTGCGTCACGATTCGAGACGATCTAATATTCCTGGACACGTGACAAACCGTCCTGAAACTCCGTAGAACGCGGAAAATAAAATTCTATACGTCGCCAGGGGATGGGGGCGAGATCAATAACCGCAAGTGTGCATGCACAGCGTCGCGATCCCGGCACCGAGATAGATAGACGTGGATTTATGACGGTGAACTAACCAGCCGATGGAGAATCCATTTTGAATTCTGTGATTTTCGTAACGCGGCTGATCGAGCCGCGATATTTCAAGAGCTAAACCCCGCGGCCACCCACGTCTTAAACTTCGTGGTGCGGTTCGACAGCGATCGATCCAGAAGTGATTTTACGACGTTTCCATCGGCTTCTTTCTCGCTGTACGCGCGCGCGCGAAACTCTTAATTGCTTCCCAAGATTATCCCGGCGAACGGGCCATTTTCAGCTGGTCGCTGGATCGTTGTCTGCGCAAACGGATGTTCCCACGGCTTTCCGGCTGTCGTGAGATTTCCTCGCGGGGAAAACCAGACGGAGAATGTTGAACAGGATGTTTTCACATCACATAAGGATTGAGAGTTTTAGGGCGGTCTTATAGTTATGCCGTACAGTGAGCATTGTGACATAAAAGGTACAGTAAATTAAAAGTCAACATAAATCCCCCCAAAAACCACTACTACAATGTCATTATAATCGTGCAATACGAAACCTGCGATCCGTCATTTTAACAGGATTAGTTCCAGCGTTATTTCCCACACACAATTACTCCACCGATATTAATGGAATAATCTCCGCGAAACATCCTTTCAAAGACCCTTCGCAACCAGTCCATCACGATCTCCTAATCACTATTACATTCTACAATTTCCCTTCACCACGAATACCATTACCAACTACTGATTATTCAATGATTAAATAATTTCTCGAAAATAATTCACGTCTCGGTTCAACAGATGGTATCCGCGAAAGGACGGCATCCGGAGCGAATTTCGGAACTTCAAACTACCATCTTCCCCCTCCACGAGAATCCCTACAAGTTCTTTCCCTTCTACGTTCAGATTTTCATCTCACACTCGACCGCGCGGAACGAAGTTCCAGCGAATTTCTGCGTACAACTCGGCCGGTAACCTGTCCCGCATTTTCAGACCAGAAGCCACGAGCTTCGACCAGTAGAAGGGGCGTAAACTGTCCTTTTTTTCTTCGGATTCGAGTGAAACTTTCGTCGACGCGTCGACAACAAAACGTCTTGCGCTCGACTTTCCGGGGCCAGAGGAAAGACGAAGTTTCGCATTTTTACAAGACACTCGTTCCCTCCCCGCCTTTTCAACAGCGTGGCCGCGTTTTGTTCGGCGCATCGTCGTGGAATTCCTGGCCGCGACAATTTATACGAAAGGTAAATTCTCCCGTCGTGGAACCCGTTCGCTCGCTCGACTCGAGAGAAACGTCGCGCAGACGCGGGCATTCGAACTCTCGAACACGCCGTTTCCGGTGATCGTTTGG